TCAGCATTAAAAGAGACTACAACCATGACATTTGCAGATAAATGGATGGAGTTGGAGAATATCATACTAAGTAAGCCAATCCCAAAAAAACAAAGACGGAATGTTTTCTCTGATTCGTGGATGCTGAACCATAATGGGGGAAGGGGATGGGAGGAAGGGAGGGACTTTGGATAAGGCAAAGGGAAGGGAGAGGAAGGAAGGGGGCATGGGGGTAGGAAAGATAGTGGAATAAGATGGGCATCATTCCCCTAGGTACATGTCTGATGACAGAATAGTGTGACTCTACTTCCTGTCCAACCAGAGAAATGAAAACTCAGGCTCCCTATGTATACTATGAATCGAAATACATTCCTCTGTCGTGTATAAGTATTAGAACAAATAAATAAATTTTTTTTTTAAAAAGAAAGAGAACATCACTAGTTTCCCCCCAAACTCTCTCTTTTCCCCTTCTAACCATCCACTAACTGGACTAATACCACCCCATCACTATTGTTTTTAGTCTAAATTCTTGCTCATTCATTTCATAAAGTCTCTATTGTGCTTTTATCTGGGAATTCTCAATGGTTATTACTGTTTCATTGTTCTGTTTAATTGAGTTCTATCCTGTGTCTCTGGTGGCTGCTCAGATAGTCCTAGTTCTGGCTTCTGGACCTCTCAGAGGTGACATCACTCTTCCCTATCTGCGCGCCGGTGCAAGAACCCAAGGACAGCCGGGCGCGGTGGCGCTGGAATGTAATCCCAGAGGCTCGCGAGGCTGAGGCAGGAGGATCTCGAGTTCAAAGCCAGGATCAGCAACTCAGCGAGACCTTGTCTCAAAATAAACTATAAAACAAGGCGGGGATGTGGGTCGGGGTTAAGCGCCCGGGGCTCAATTCCCGGTACCAAAGGGGAAGAAAAGAAAAAGAACTCAGGGAAAGGAAATCTCCACGGCACCCATCCTAACCTAGCTGGTGACGCAATCAGCCACCAACGCTCCCAGACACCGGAAGGAAGCCTCTCAGCCCGGCGTCAGGAGCACGCGGCCCGTCCTCCCACACGTGGAAAGAAATCAGACGACCCTGGGGCCCACGGGGAATGGCCTGCTGGAGCCGGCCGCCCTGAGAGCCCGGGCGCCCGGGACAGGGCACGTCCACGCTGTGTCAGCGGAGCCGCTTCGGCGGGCCATTAACACACTCAGTGGAAAACTGCTAGCCCCTTACTTCTGCTTCCTCGCTTTCCGTTTGTTTTCACGTTTCGTCCCTCTTCTCCCTCAGGTAACACGGGAGGAGGAAGCTAGGCTCCATACTGTGCGTTTGCGGAACGCGTCCCCAGCCGAACCCCGGAACTTGGGTTCCGTTATGTTCTGCTCGCCTGGAAACGATGCCCTGGTAGAATTTGAATCTAACTCAAAAGATTTCACAATAGTTTGAACTTTTGAAACAAGTGGAAGAATCTTGGCAAATTGCAACATTTTTTTTTATCATAGAGATTATTTTAAAAAATCAAAAATACAGAAAATTTGTGTTAATCATTTTACATATTTCCAAGATGCTTAACAGGTTGAGGTGAACTTCAGGCATTTCCTGTAATCATCTGTGGTTAAAATAAGATTTAGGGCTGGATTGTAGCTCAGTGGTAGAGAGCTCGACTCGCATGTGTGAGGGCCTGGGTTCAGTCCTCAGCACCACATAAATAAAATAAAGATACTGTGACTACCTACAACTAAAAAATAAAAAATTAAGATTTAGATTCCTTTTAGTAATGAAATTTTGCTTTTTCCTGACAGTGGTGTCTAGGCCTGACATCTTGCCTCAGAAAGATACTTACTATCTGTTAAAGTGGTTACAGAGATAATTTTATATATTTCTTTTCATATTTTTGACTGGAGATTACTGTATATTTCGGTGCAACTAAAATTATTCCTATCATTCTTTAAATGGGACATAACATGCCATGTAGACAAGACCCTAAAGGTTCTTTAACCACACCATGGTTACCCAGCACAGAGTTCCTGGCAATTTCTCATAGGTCCTGAATAAATATTTCCATTTATATGGTTTTATATTTTACCTGTGGGTTTAGAGAACCCTGCGTGAAATTATGGATTCAAAGAGAATTAGCCAATTTACAGCTAGAGTGTTTCCAAATTAATTTTCAAAGTTTTTGCACAAATCACATTGTGCAAAATAAAAAGTAAAGAATAAGTCTGGCATGTTTTACTATCTCTAGAATAAAGAATAAAAACTTGCTTTCCAATTTATGGGAAAACAAATCTCAATTTTCAGTTCTTTAGTTAATAGCAAGGTTGATGATTTGTGATGTTAATGTGTTTGGAAAGATCTGGTTTGTTTGTTTTGTTTTGTTTGTTTGTTTGTTTGTTTTCATATTTGAGAGCCAAGGGAGACCAAGAACAAAAGACTAAAGGTGAAAAAAAGCAAGGGAGTTTAGGTGCCAGTATTTCTATTCCTTTTTTATTATTTTTTATTTATATATTGACAGCAGAATGCATTACAATTCATATTACACATATAGAGCACAAATTTTTCATATCTCTGTATACAAAGTATATTCACCTCAGAGATTGTTTTTTCTGCTGAGAAGAGACTTTTTAGTTTGAATCTATCCCATTTATTGATTCTTGGTTTTAATTCTTGCATTATAGGAGTCTTATTAAGGAAGTTGGGGGCCTAATTCCATATGATGGAGATTAGGGCCTACTTTTTCTTCTATTAAACGCAGGGTCTCTAGTTTTATTCCTAGGTCCTTGATCTATTTTGAGTAGAGTTTTGTGCATGATGAGATATAGAGATTTAACTTCCTTTTGTTGCATATGGATTTCCAGTTTTCCCAGCACCATTTGTTGAAGAGCCTATCTTTTCTCCAGTGCATGTTTTTGGCACCTTTGTCTAATATATGATAATTGTAATTTTGTGGATTAGTCTCTGTGTCCTCTATTCTGACACTACGGTTAAAGGAGGAAAAAGGATCTTTCCAAAATCACACCAACAACATGTAAAAGCCAACTGTAAATATCAATTTCCCACTCTTTATAAGTATGTCAGAGTGTAGGCCTTACTCTGCTTGTAGTGCCCAGTTCCCTCCCTCAGCTCCAAACCAATCGATGTTCAGCAAGGGGCCTCCCCAAGAGGCTGTTGTCCTTCAGACAGGATCCATTCCTGGTTATTGCAGGCAGGACCTTCGGTAACCATGGGTGGTACCGAAAATAAGGCACAATGTGCCCCTTCAACAAGAATGCCATAATTGTGAGATAAGAAATTGCAATTGTAAAATGAGGTGCAACTGCTCCTCAGAGTCATCTTGCATTCAAAAAGATCTAGAACCAACAATCTCACCTATTAAAATTCCTTTAATTATTATTTCCCAAGAGTTGTGGTTCTTATTCCCTAAAGGAGCTGGAGATGGGCATTTTTTCAATTCTTTGCAGCTTCTTCGTCCCTGCAGCGCCTGGGAGAGCCGCTGCAGCTGGAGGCCTGTGGAGGGGATGGGGTCTCTCCAGCTGCAGCTCAGCTGCCCTGGCACCGCCTGCCGAATGCCAGCAAGGATGCTGTGAGCACCAAGTAATGCCTGACTGCCTCCAAGTCACAAGAAAACACCTTCCTTTAGTCAAATGACTGAGATATCTCAGACCTCTCCTGTGGCCTGGTCTGACAGCCAAAATTCTATAGAAATTTATGTTTTTCTACTCAAGTAAGGAAACTGAGTGAAGAAATAGAATTGTTTTAAATAATAATGGCCTGGCTGTCCTGGTGAAGTGCTTTGTATTAAGATAAACAAACACCTTACCACCAAACATACCTAACTACACCTCTTTAATACGTGAGTTAAGGATGTTGCTAAACCTAGAATATCATGGATGTTTGATTTGCTGGGTGTTTAGATTTTAGGAGGAAAAACACTTTTGTTTATTAAAAAATGGAATATTTGTAATTTTTTGTTCCTAAGATTTTTATACTTCTTTTCATAAATGGACAATCACTAAATGAAGACAAGAAAGTATAAAATTGGGGGAAAAGAATAGACTTTACTAATCAAATGATGCCTTGATTTTTCTAAATGAGAAGATTGTTTTATCTTTAACCCCAAATACAGGAGACATTCCTTAGTAAACTTGTTTGGAAAGATTCGTGTTATAAAGTATATTAGGTTACCCCATCTTATGTATGAAGCAGATTTGATCTCTTTTTTAAGTTCCTGTACTCTATAGTTGTGATTGCACTTTGTAAAAGATACTACATTATTTTATGTCTTTAAAAAATGTTTAAATGTGGCCTACATACAGAACATTGCAAATGGTTAAATACAAAGTAATGTGAAAACATCGTGACCTAAAAGAATTCTTCACATCACAAGTGTTTTACTTAGATGATGTGCCTTTGATTTAATTTGGGATACTTTTAAAAGGATACTTCATGTTTGTGATAATCTTCAGAAAGCTTGGAAATAAATTCTGTTTAGTTCAAAAAATAAAAATAAAAATTATTTTCAGTGGTTTTATTCTTAAAATAAGCATGAGCTCACTTTATGCTTCGAATGGCCATATTTAGTAAATTATAATATCCCTATTTTATTTTTCATATTGTTAATTTCCATAATAATTGTATATATTGAGGAGCTACAATGTGATCATTTAATACATGTGTATAATAGGGAATGGTCAAATCAGGATACTTAGCATTCTCATCTCCGTAAATCTTTTTTTTTTTTTAAGGAGAGAGAGAGAGAGAATATCTTTTTTGTAGATGGACACAACACAGTGCCTTTATTTTTATGTGGTGCGTGGTGCTAAGAATCGAACAGGGTCCCACCCGTGCTAGGAGAGCACTCTACCACTGAGCCACAATCCCAGCCCCTCCCTTAAATCTTCATCAGGTCTTTGTGTTGGGAATGTTTGAACTCCTCTCTTCCAGTCTTTTATACATTGTATTCTAAGTTGCTGTAAACTATAGTCACCATGTCATGCCTGGCCTCAGAGGACCAGAGTTTATTTCTCCACCTGACTATTTTGGCACCTGTGTCAAGCCCCCCTCCACTTCCTGTCCCCACCCACTCAGCCTCCAGTAACCAAGTAACCAAGTAACCATGGTTCTCTATCCACCTCAGGCTTAGTTCTGACTTCAGGGACCCTAAGCAATTTAGAGAGACCCTGTCTCAAAACAAAAAAACAAAACAAGAAATTTTAAAGGCTGTGGATATAGTTCAGTGGTTAAGCATCCCTGGGTTCAATCCCTAGTATCAATTAAAAAAAAAAAAAAAAAGGAAGCTAAGCCTTGTGTATTTTTCCAGCAATGTGATATTGAGACCTAGGTTACTCTTCTCCATGGAATATAAATACTTCCTAGAACAGTAAATTTAACAACATGCTGAACTATCTACCTCCTTTTTTAATTCAACTATCCGTGAGGTTGTGCAGAAGGCAGGGGCTGAACTCCTGGCCAGGTGACTCGGAACTCAGACACACACACACACACACACACACATACACACACACACACGACTTTGGTCTGGAGAGTTTGGTGAAACCACATGGATAAAAATGTGAGGCTGACATTTTTGGAGAGAGAAAAAACCATGAGCCTCTACCACGGGGTTTCAGTGAAAATTTGTTACTTGTTCCATCTCAGAGAGGGAAGGAAAGCTACTATCAGTTAAGTGCAGCATGAAAGGTGGTAGCCTTGGTTCATGTCTAGGGAATACAGGCTCCAAGACCAGAGAGTGGAGCTGGATATTGGTGCTGAGAATGGGCACCTCTCAGACCTGGGGGGCAAATAATAGGAGACTCCAATTATAAAAGTCAGAGGAGCATAAAGACTACTTAATGTCATTTATGCACAATTCAGTGGTTCCCCCTTACTCTACCTTTCTTAACTGTGGAGCGTCACTTCCATTAGACAATCTGGCAGAAAACCCTGTAAAAGGTTTTATCTATTCATATAAACTCAAGATCATAAACTTGATTTCACGACATTTAAAAACTCCCAGAAAGCTTGCCGTAAGTCTGCTTACAGGCTCCTGAGTCTCTGGATCACGTTCCTCACAAAGGCCACCTTCTACTTAAATATCTATAATGATGCAAAAATTGGCGTCTAACGGAAGTCAATCATTGCCCTGAGCAGCCCGACAGGAAAAAACTCAGTAAGCTGCATGAAGAGGAGGCATTAAAGTGGAGTTTGCATAGCTCCTGTAAATTGCTAAAATAGTAATATGGATATACACTAATTTACCAAATCATCCCTTGAACAAAAAGCCACTTTTAGAAATTTACACCACAAAACAAAAGCACCCATATGCAAAAAAAAAAATA